TACATTAGAAATAATAATGTTTAAAAATCTCTGACATAAAAAAAACTCCCTCCACAGAATCTCATTTCATGCATATGTACTTCAACAGAGTCCTACTGTCTTTGTCAAATATATTTTGTCCGTGATTTCAATAATATCAGACTTAGCAAATGACACAGAAAATACTGGCTTACAGAAGTGTTAACCCAAAACAAAGAAATTCTAGCTAATTTGAAGCAAATGATTCTGAAAATATTTTAATTGCATGGACTGCTCTGATTTTTTTTTTAAACGAACTAATTCTTGTCTTGGTCAGTACTTATTATCAAACTCTATTTAAGCCCCACAAGGCCCAGACAAATGGAAAGACTTTAGCTTTAAAAGAAAATATCAAGAGAAGGAAAAATCTTTCCTTCTTTGGCCAGAACAACAATCTAAGAAAATTGTGAAATAGGAAAAAGAAAAAAAAGCCTACAGCACTTACCCAGCAGTTCCTTGGTGCCCTGTATTTCTTTGCTCAGTTTTCACTGTAGGACATAGATGCCTTCAATTTAACCAAGCTTACTCCACCCATTCCTGCCATTTGTCTTACCTCACACAACATAGTATGCTCCCAAATGAGTCCTGTCCATTTATTCTCCTTTATTTCAATTTTCTAATCAAAACTCAGAATCTAGGATAGGCATTTGGTGTGGTGGGTGACATATCGGTTGGGATGCCTGTATCCTGTAATGAAAGGGCCTGGGTTGCAATCCCAGCTCTCCCAGTTTCAGCTTCCTGCGGAAGCACCTCCTCAGCGGTGGGGCTCAAGCAGCTGGCACACAGCAGTGCAGCTCAAATATGCTCCTGGCTTTAGCCTGGCCCAAACCTGGCTGTTCACCATGGAGGATGAGTCTAAGAAGCACTTATTTTCCCAAACAGGTTTTACTGCATGGGGACTTCAGGAGGACAAAGGAAGACAGACAGGAAGGGTCCAGCCCGTGAGGAGGGCCAGAGTGTGGCTTACAGCAGGTGTGATAAGTGAGCAGCACCAATCCACCAAGCCCCACTTCTGCACATGTGGCAGCCGAGGCTCATGGGAGCCAGGTCTCCTGCCTTCCAGGTTTGCCTGCTGCCCTCACAAACCTTCCCATAGCAGTTTATAGTGAGAGGGTGAGAGGCACTTAGAGCTGATAGGCAAGAGAAAGCTATACGGCATTCTTGCTCAAGGGATGATTAGAGAGTGGGCCTCACCTCAGGGTCAGGCTCTGCTGTGTTCTGGGAAGAGCATTTTTTTGCTTTCTTCCAATGAGCTAACTGGGGGTAAGAGGGATTATTCAAATGACAGTGCTGATATTGCCTGAAATATTTCAGAAATAGAAAATCCTAGGAATTATCTTCAGTACCAGTTTATAAAACGTGCTCTCTCTCTCTCGCTCTCTCTCTCTCTTTCTCTCTCTCTCTCTCTCACACACACACAGACTTTTAGAGGTTATAACTTGTTTTTGATCAACTGTAGCCAGCCTAATCACCACCGAATTAAAGCACTAAGGTAGGTTTGGTTCTTTCCACAATCAATACTCATATTCGAAGAATGAAGCTTTGTCACCAGAAAACGCCTTGCTGTGCTCTTCCTCCGTTTTTGGAATTTGCCATGTAGCGGGGTCAGCAATTGTGGCAAAGCTGGTTAAGCCTCTGCCTGCGATGCCAACATCCCACATGGGAGTGTCAAGCCCTGGCTCCTCCACTTCCAAACCAGCTTGCTCCTAATGTGCCTGGGAAAGCAGCAGAAGATGGCACAAATACTTGAGTCCCTGCCAAGCACATGAGAGACCCAGCCTAGCTCAGACCGAGCTATTGTAGCCATCCGGGAAGTGAACCAGCAGATGGAACAGATCTCATTGTGAGTCTCTCCCTCTTTCTCTCTGTCACTGTGCCTTTCAAACAAATAAATATATCTCAAAAAAATCTGCATGTTGCAAATATAATCCACAATGGAACAATGGTAGGAAGTGTGGTCTTTGGGGAGGTATTTAGGCCTTGAGGGCTTCACCTTTAAGCACATGAGGGCTCTACCCTTAATGTCATTACCAAAAGAGCTCGCAGGAATGGGTTTGATGTCTTCTGCTCTTTAGAAAATGACATCCGTCACTCCAGAGCACACAGCATCCAAGGCACCAAAAGGAAGCAGGGAGAGCAGGTGCTCACCTGCCACTGTCTTGATCTTGGACTTCCCACCCTCAGAACGGTACTACATTTCTTTTATCAATCACCCAATTTCAGGTGTGCTGTTAGAGCAACACAAATGAACTAGACAGCTGCTTCTATCTCCTCTTCACATCTTCTATTGCTCCCATTGGTTTCCCAGTGGGTTTCTCTTCCAGGCAAACTGAAAGGTGGGATGAAATGTGTTGCATCCTGCCCTATCCCTTCCACTTCACTAATGGTCCCTCAGCTCTGTTGTTTTTGAGAAATTTGCTTTAGCACAAGGAAACCAAGTACCCAACAAACACAATCTCCTTTTACAGATTACAAAAATATCTTAGTAGGTATTTATGCTTTGATTTCCCTGGTACATCCACTTAAATGCCCAAAACAAGAGACTAGTTTTGTAATCAAGCCTTGTAGTCTTGTACTTAGATTCCTTTATTACCAAGAGTGGTAAAGAGTCTGCCCTCCTTCTTCAATGAAAACAAAGAGATAGTGACTAGGGAGTAAAAAAATGGTTCAAAATGTCAGATCCTTGAAGGGGCCCTGTGCTTCAGAGGGTCATGGACATATCAAGTTCACCCCAGACTGTTTGGATCCTCCAAGTCATGGGGTTCCTTTTATTTTTCCCTAATCCAAGTGTTGAAGGAACATCTTCCAGGATTTCCCAACTGTTTAGGCAATGTAACCTCACTGGACTAAGAACCAAATATCCCAAAAGGGCTCTGCTCATTTTGATGTAAAACATCCAGTGTCTTTGTTCTGATAAAGAAAGTAATATTTTACCCTGTGGAGCCTATGTGTATGCTCATAGAAACATTCACAAGAATGACAATAAGCACACGCCTATCCTTTGAACCTTGGAGCATGTTCAGGGGCAATCACTTCTCAAAGACACCAAAAAAATTTATGATGGCGTAACACCAAATACTGGAACGTTTTGGTTTGGTTCCAAGTTTCCAATACCCACCTACCAGCTTTAAAACAGTAGAGTGAATTTCAAGAAAACTATCAGATCGTAAGTAAACCTTTCTCTTAAAAGAGTAGGTACCCTACCAAACACAAATGGAGAAAAATAGAAAAGACAGTATCCAAGCTGAGAAGATGCTCAGGGCTATGCCAAATCATATTTTTCTTACTGTTACACTGAACTAAAAAAAGAAGATAAATCATCATGAAAATGCAAGTGAGCTGGTAATAATAGCCTAGTTATAGCTGCCATGAAATACTCATTAAATTATATGCAGCATAAATCTCACAGAGTTGGGTAAATTATGGTGGTTCTTGGAGGCCAAATAAAGATAAACTGTCCAGACTAGAGCTGCCTTGCTCTTTGCTCCTTGGAGTGGCTTTTTATAATGTTTGCGTTTAGGCTCAGGACACCATATGGTTCCAGAAGCATCTCAGAGATAATAAAAAGTTCACCACTCTTACTCGAGACCCCCTCTTCTACATTTTCAAGGCAATCATTTCTAATGAGGCCTTCCCTGGGCTCCTAAGCAGAATCCTGTCCTACTCTGGCTCTTTCTGGGACCTGACATGCGTCCAGCTCCGGTTGTGCACAGTAAGCTCATCCTGGTTCCCAGAGATCCTGGAAGAGCAGGTGCTAGAGATGGGCATTGCTTCAGGGGCTGAGCTTGCTGCTTGTAGCTCCTGCCAACCAGCTCGAAGTCCAGAGGCCAGCAGTGCAATCTTACCCTCTGCTTCCCTCCCTTGACCCACATGTTAGTAAAACTCAGATTCAAAGATTCCCAGTCAACGTTGCCTTTCCTCCTTTTTGGAGGTTTGTAGTAATCCCCAGATGATCTTTTTTCTTAACTGCTTTTTTCACTCCTGCTATTTAAACAGAATTCTTATTGCTCCAAATTAAATCCATTCTTTCTAGCCTTGTCATTGCTAAGTAATGAGAACAATTCCTCTCTTTGCTCTTGGTAGCTGCACTACGGGTACTTATGGATGAGAATCATATCTTTCTTTAGCCTACTTTCTTAACTGCAGACTGCACAGGTGATAAAATGGGTTAATTGTTGCTATAAAAATATTTTCTATCCTCATAACGGAGTAATTTTTTCCTCCAAATCATTTTAATTTCTTAGACTTAATGTTGTGCCCTTACGATCTGCAGGGACTGAGGGTATTATGCTATTGGGCTCACATATACAAAAGGTAGAGCACAATGCTGGGTGGGCAACATGCACAAACAACGCAGATCTTGGTCACTGTGCTTTTTTGTTCCCTGCCCCACTCATGCTGGCATTCTGGCCTCAGTGTTTATCACACACTCATCACATCTCCGAAGGAAATTTGCAGCCTCTGACTGAGCTCACCAAAGCACAACCTGTAGACTCTCTGTGGATAAAACTTCATGGTCGTATAGTCACACACATTTTTAAGTAAATCAGTGGTGGGTGGCAGAACTGAATAGCTCTGACAGAGACTAGATGGTGTGCAAAAGTCCAAAATATTTACTGTCTGGTCCTTTACTGAGAGTTTGTTAATTCCTAGCCTAGGACAGCATTAACGTTCCAACTGGCTTTGCTACTTGCACCAGGAAATTCTCTTGCTTTCACCCAAGCAGTCTGCTAACTGTTTCACCTCAGGCCAAGTCACACAACTGGGAAAAGAGTCTGGAACGGAAGAATTTCTTTTCCTTTCTGTCCACACAAGAGCTTTTATTTTATCTATGAGCATGATGACTCACACATCTGAAGGGTATTTTTGTAAGCATGGGCGTGTTTACCAGGTCTACCCAGATCATTGTGCTGCATTTATCTAACTCACCAACTCAGACCATCAGCAAGACAAGAGAATCCGGGCCAAGGCCAGGTACTCACTATATGAAGCTGCAGGAAGTCGCCGAGTCCTGGGGCGCTGTCGATGCGTACCAGGATGCCATCCTTCACCGTGGTGCTGAAGCCCACGGCAAGGCGGTCGGAGCGTGTACTGGGCCTGTCATTGGCTGGCCAGGTGTAGAGGATGAGACCACCGCTTTTCCCAAAGATGTAGGTAGCGCCAGCTGCAAGAGCAAGGAGACAAAGGGACATCAGGGCACAATCCCGCAAACTGCCATCTGCAGGTACACTGTTGAGACTGCACAGAACAGCTGCTAGGAAGAAATGTGCCCCGCGGGACAGTATTTGGTTACTGAGAGGGCTGGCATCCGAAGCCCCAGAAGGTGGCTGTCATCTCAAATTAAAGATGCCAACAAAAGGAATGAATAGCAAAACACGTGCCAGGGAGACTGGTTCTTAACATCTTCAGCTTCTGCTGTATGGTGTTAGAGGGCAAACAACACACTGTGTCTGCCAGCTTTGGGACCTTGTAAAAGAAAACCTTCTCCATCTTCCTGAACAGCAGAATCAATTTTCCAACTTGGCTAGGACAGGCAAGGTACAGAAAACGCGTCTGGCATTTCTCAGCAATTAGAATATTCTGGTCGGGGCCAGGAATGGTGTCAGGGATTCCTCACAGAACTGAAGGTCTCGGGAAAATCCAAAGCACCATTCCTTGCGCACTTGTGTCTTCTCCCGTGCTCACAGAAAGAAAAGCTGTGTCTGGGAAAACCAAGTTACAAAGGCTGAGTATCCCTCATCCAAAATGTTTGTAATCAGAAGTGCTTCCGAGTTGGGGTTTTATCAGATCTTGGAATATTTTTATTGATAGGACTCACATCAAGACACAAAATTCATTTTTGCTTTTATATATACTTCATACGTATAACCTGAAGCAAAAGTTTATGCAATATCTGTAGTGTATCTGAGGGTTTAAGTTTTATTTGTTTTTGTTTACTTACAAAGCAGAGCAAGAGAGAGAGGGAGAGACAGAGACAGAGAGAGACAGAGACAGAGAGAGAGAATCTTGCATTTGTTAGTTCCTCCACCAAATGCCTTCAGTAGCTGACACTAAGCCAGGCTGAAGTCAGGAGCCAGGAAGGCAATCAGAGTCTCCAGTGTAGATGGCTGGAACCCAACTACTTGAGCCATCCCCAGCTGTTTCCCAGCATGTACGTTCCAGGAAGCTGGAATCTGGAGTGGAGCCAGGACTTGATACTAGGTGCTCCAATAAGGGATGCAGCATTCCAAGTGGTAGCTTAACCTCTGTGCCACAGTGCTTGCCCTGAGCTTCCAATTTGACTGCAATCTTTTACAATGAGGTCAAGGGCAGAATTTCCCACTTGCAGTTCCATGATGGCATTTAGCAAGTTTCCGATTTTGGAGCAGGTTTGATTTCAAATTTTCAGTTAGAGTTGCTCATCATGGTTGACTAAAAGTATTTCTCTATTTCACCCTTAAATTGCTATAAACACAGTGACAAAAATTATTTCCAGGGACTTTTAAAATTGAATTTATTTCTGTTAGTGGTGATATTAATCTATAAGCACATTAACAGTTTCCATCCCCTCTTCCAAATTAAATTTCAAAAAGAAGACACAAGAGACACGAAAATCTCAGGATAATCAATTGTGAACAGAGCAAGTAGTATCAATTATGATTAGTGGATTTATCAGTATTTTTACTATTTACTTGTGTGTTTACAATTTTCAGTGTGGACCCAGATGGTATCAGTAAGGCATTAATTTAAAAGTACTCACAAAGCAAACAGGAAGAAAAATAAAAGAGATATTTGCAGGTTAGAAATTTTAGAAGTCGATTTTAACCTACAAGTTCTTAAGTTGGAATTACGGAAAAACATTTAGAATTGGAAATTAGAATAGACCAGACCATTATCTCCTCCACTGTTGTATGCATCTATCCCTGGTGAATACCTCCATATGCTTCTCGTCTCAAAGTTCAAAGAACATTTGGCACCAGATTTTCTTGTGTCTTTCCCAGAGAACATGTTACAGCCCTGACATTCCTTTAAAATCACATTAGACAGTCATTCTCATGTCCTTAGCATTTACTAAAAATCTCAAGCACTGGTCTGCATTGACTAAGGAAGCCTGCAGACACTACTGGGTGAAATCATCGGTGGTGGAAGAAAAGGTGAGGTACGCCGCTTCCTGAGGATGTGAACTCCTGTGCTGCTGGGCCCTGGGAGTAGATGCTATATGTCATCCTTTCTCAAGCACTAAGCCACACCGAGTTCTGCAGTGCATAGAATCACATTTCTCCTCTTTGAAAGGTCACCGTCCCCAGTTCTCCAGTTTGCTCAGATTGTATAGTATATGTAGCATATTGTATTTCCTTTTAGACTTTCTCAGTCCTTAGAGGATGGTCTCTAGAAAACCCTCGACAATCATTCAGAGAATCTGGGACTGTAGATGGAAAGTTTATGATTAATTCAATATGCAAAACAATATTTGCTCCTTACTATCCACAAACACCCTCAAAGCTTCTTAAAATTAGAAATGTGGGTAGAATGATTTACCCTCAATATCCCTGAATCTGTGAGGAGTTTAAGTAATTCCCTTTCTGTAGATGATTACAAATGTCATCACCACTGTTTTTATTTTTTATTTGGAAAACTGAAGGTTACTCAGTGATTAATGTATAGAATCATCAAATGCAAATCAGTCTGTGACATTTTACAGTAATTTATAAAATTTTATGCTATTCTATCCCAAATATATTGTGGATCTGGCTACAGAATTATATACACACTCTATCAGGAAATGATTTTTAAAACTTGCTTTGTTTTTATTATTTTTCAATTTTTATTTTCATTTTATTTGAAGGGCAGAGAGGGGGAGAGAGAGAGAGAGAGATTGAACTTCCATCCACAGGGCCACATGCCAAATGCCTGCCACAGCCAGGGCTGAGTCAGGCCAATGCCAGGTGCTCGGAACTCAGTCCAGGTTTCCCCTGTGGGTGGCAGGGACCAAGAACACCCTGGAGGCAGCAGAGTGATGGATAAAGTTAAGGAAACTTAGACTGAGGCTCCTGATTTTGACCTGGACCAGCCTTGGCTGTTGCAGGTATTTGTGGAGTAAACCAGCAGATGGAAAGGTTCTTAGTCTCTGACTTTCAAAAATCTGAAAATAGAATTAATTAGTTTAAAAATAAAGAAAAACAGTATGAAAAACAGTCACAGGCCCCCAAGCCTGACATGTTTTCCAAGTCTGTCTCACCTTCTCGCCTCACAAATACAAATGACTGGTGTATGTTCGAGTCTAGTGTTTCAATCCTCAGTACTTCAACACAAAGTGGAAGAGCGTTTTCTAAGATAACTGCAAGTATGTAGTGGTAAGGAGGTCGTGGTGGTTTAACTTTAAAATCAAGAACCAAACCTCACTGTCACAATATCAAAGTGGTGAAAACATATATAAAATTCAATTTCAAAAATTTTAGTTTCTGATATTCTGAGTTCATGATACCATTATGATAAACCTAATGTTATAGGTGACAGGGGCATTAAAGTACATAGCACCCAGCTTCTTCATGTCATGTAGAAATAAATACTAAAACACCTGTTGTTGCCACTGGACTTGTTGGTAAGCATGAACAAAGACCCAGAACGTCCCCATAGTCTGAGGCTGGCTTTAAAGGAAGATAAAGTAATAGCCACAGTTTAGTATTCTGATAACGTTACTTGTTTTCTCTTTACCTTTTCATGTTTTGCTGTCTTACATGCTGAATATTAATTAATTATTATATAAATATATTTTCTGTTAATTTTTGCATAAAATGTTCCAGAGTCTTATGCACTTATTTTTCTTTACATTTCCAAGTAAGAAATATTTTTAATATTTAAATATACATTACATATCAACTTTCAGGCAATGTTTTACAAACTATATAAAACCCCTCCTTAATCCATTACAGATTCTCATTTTTGAGCCATGAAATCCTAAATCACAAGTTTTCGTAACACTAGCTTTTCTTTTTTAAATTATTTTTTTGAAAGGTAGACAGAGAGACAGACAGACAGACAGATGGAACCATCCCATCTGTTGACTCACTCTCCAAATGCCCTCAAAAGGAGGAGGAGGAGGAGAGCCAAGCTGAAGCCCAGAGCCAGAAACCAGGAACCCAGCCCATGGGTCGTCTTCATAGCTGTGGACCTCATCATGGTGAATTATCACCTGTTACCTCCCAGAGTGCAACTTAGCAAGAAGCTGGGATGGAGACTGGAGAGAAATCGCAGCCCAAGTACTCCAACATGGAATGCTGGGGTCTCAAGAAATGTCTTAATGCTTCATAAAACATTCACCCCTGAACTTAACATTCCTGACTGCTCATCTTCTATTCACTGTGCTGGTTCCGAAATTACACTTAACTTATTTATAATTATCACCATGCAAATTTCTTTCTTGTTAGCAAAAACTGATCAATTCAACTGGAAAGATAGCCATTGTGCCATTTAGGCTGTTTAACCCTGACTGATTTGCAAATTTCTAAGCAAGGGAGATCGGCTTGCTGAGTTTCAACCAACACAGTATTTCAGGAATAAAATCTTTACATAGTCACCACTAAGATTAAGTGGACGCACCCTACATTCAAATAGTCAACAAATGTGACAAGTTATTTAACATAAAACCTCAAAATAGTGGGTTTGAATTATTTGTAATTGGCTCACTCTATTGTGATGTAGCTAAAGATGACAGTGGCCGAGTTGAGCTTAAGGATGTGAATATAAGTGTTTTGCTATAATTGTATATAGTGGATTCTCCTATAAGTATAGAAGGGTATTCAAAAAGTTCATCAAAATGTGTATTATGAAAAAGATTTGCATAGACTTCAATTTTTGGTGTCAAAATAAAGTTTTAATTTCATTTTGTCATGAACCTTTTGAAGTGTCCTCACCAGTGTTACAGTGTTTCATAGTAACAGGACTTACATTTTCATTTGAATAGTTTTCAAATTGTTTTCTTCAGGTGTATCAAATTAGATACTTCTTCCTGCCATATTTACTGTAGTGTTAAAGGTAAATAGCTTTCTTACCAATTCAATAAAAAAGAAATGGAGGCTGTATCAGACTGAGGGACTCGATCCGTGGCTAAGTGGTGGCACTGAGAAAAAGTGGTCCTCTTTTCCTAAAATCGTTCCCTTTTTGCCCACGTCATGCTACATTCCT